TTTAAAACCTCTGCGACGCTTGGTCGTCGGGAGGGGAAAAGAATTGATATCGCACTGACATTGATGCCGAGTAAAAATACACTAAGTTCATAGGCCACGCATCCTACTCATCGTCCTGCGAAAATCTATCCGACTAATTAACGCAGATCTCTTGGTGCCATTTGCGCGTACATTGAAAACGTAGTACGCGAAGCGAGCGCATCGGCGCTTTCCTCCTGGCGTGCGGCGCCGTAGAAAGCGCGACCCCGACGCCCGTACGTTTAACGTACAACCGCCTAATTAGCACCAATTAGGGACGTCGCTGCGTCGGCGGGTGCGCCGCGTCGGGACGGTTCCTCGCGAAAATTTGTTTGCGCGAGGCGGCGGCCCGTGGTAATCCTCGCTTCGCGCCCACGGAGGCGCGACGTGCTAAAGTGAAAGAATAACGGAGTACCTAAACATTTAACCGCATTAATCGCGGCATGAATAATTTATGCGGTTACCGGATCACGCACGAGCGGCCCGACGAATGGTACAAAGGTAAACGGCCATGTTCTCCGTCCTTCTTCAGCCGATGGTTCGTGAGAGGTCAAGCGTGCGTCTGAGAGCGAGATGAATCGGTGGAGCGTCAAAGGAGTGAAACGGAGAATGAGAGAGAGAGAGAGAGAGAGAGAGAGAGAGAGGGGGGGGCGAAAGAGGGATAGGGAGAGAGGGAGAGAAAGAGGGAGAGAAAAAGACAGAGAAGGAATGAAAGAGAAAGGGGGAGAGAAAGAGAGAAGGAACAGCGGCAAACAGGACGGCGGTTGAGAATTCAACTGGACGACGACCATAAAAGCTTGATTAATTAGCCATGCCGTGTCGACGAAGCTTTCGTGACGTTACCACGCCCAACCGTTACGAGCGAACGCGTCGTCGGTATCCCTCTCTCCGTGTAGCTCTTTAACTGCCGTCCCAAGCAAATAAAAGCGCGAGGAAACGAAGAGAAGTCGAGATCATCGTGAACACGACGACGGCCCGATCGCGGTGAGATCGAAGAAGATTAGGTCAGTGATCAGTTGGCTACTTTAGAGCGTGAGCAGTTGATGTCATTCGACGACGCGGAAGCGAAGAACGAACAGATGTTACATGTAGCATATACGCCCCCGCGGGCTACTACTCTTCTCGATTTGAAATTTTTCGCAGTAATAGTGATATCGATGTACTTCTATCGAAAGTTTCGCTAAGGATTACCAGTGACCGCGCAATCCTCGCGACGCTTATCATCGGAATATCTTTGCAATCAATTAAATCCGCCGCTTCTTTGCCTCAACTGATCGCTTCGCTGGATCTTGAGGATCTCCCAAATTTGTTCTATACGATTCGCTCCGATTTCCATTGTTTTATTCTTACAAATTTCGCCAAGCGAAAGCCGCGTCATCGAAATGAAACAAACATCGAGTGAAACACGCGTATGCCAGTTGGAAATCCGCATCCTGAGATAAAACGTAATGCCGCGTCGAACGTATAAGATCGACGGTTATAAGCGCTCTTAGAGAGCGGACACACATACGCGTGGATTTCGATTGCTCTCGCTATCTGTGCTATCAGGTTAATCCTTCGAAGAGTGGATAGGTAACCATCGAGTCGCTACGGATGGAACCGCGCATCGTCTCGTCTGTGCCTTATGTAAATGTCGGCGAACACGTGGAGGCGGCGTCCGTGTGTCCGCGGGGACTAGCCGGCAAATTGAGATTCACGCGTCTACCGACTTCGCCGGGCGAAGACACACGCGATCGATGTTCTCGTCGGCGTGCACACCTCTGCGTTTCGGCTCGCTGTGTCCGATGAAGGAAAATATGGAGTCTTCTGCCTGTATTCTTCCCTTCCCTTCTTCTTCTCTCTCTCTCTCTCTCTCTCTCTCTCTCTCTCTCTCGTCTTTTTCATATTTCCCTGCTACGCGTTCCTGCCTTATTTTGCCTCGCACTAGGTGATGGATCATGTAATACGGAGCCCTTGCCGTGCGGAGAAAATCACTCTAAATTAATTGCTCGTATTGCGAATTAATTGCGTCTCGTCACGCGTAGCGAGTATTAATATGAGCCCTTCTCCCCCCACCCCTCACTCTTTCTGTTTCCCTTTCTCTCTACGAGTAGTCCCGCATTCGTGATTCATTCAGTTGTGTGGCGGAATTTGATGGTTTTCGTTAGCTCTTGTCGAGCACTGCGCTCCGCTTGTAACATTGACTTTTAATTTCCTGAAGGACAAATCACAGCTGGTTTGTACGGATTTAAACGAGTATTTCACTTAGATATGTTTGTACATGTGAAAACGCGTATACGTCGAATAGACTTGCTGTGAATCGATTTGTGGTTCCTCCGCCAAGTCGCTCTCTCGTCGGAGAAGTCCAACTCCCGCGATGCGATAATCGATGAGCTAGCATCGTAATTTCGCGGAGCTGTACACCTCTGGACCGACGAGTCAAGTTGCGCGGGTTTTTGCTGACGACCAGTCACTTTCGGAGAACCTTAAAATTTGAAGTCGCCCAGTCGCCCGTGAAAATTGATGGCAGTGGGTTGCCGTTCGCGCGGAAATTTGTAACTTTGTGCGTATATATATATATATATATATATACATATATATATACATATATATATAGTGTACATACCGGTTTCTGCACATGGCTGGGAGCCGCTGTGTGATTTCCACTAAAACTGCCGCTCTTTTCGAGCATTCCAGGCCTATAAAGCGCCAAGTCACGAGGTTGCGCGTAAAAGTTTATGATAACACGCTAACTTCCAACGGAAAATTTATATCTCCGCACAAATACACATTAAACACACGCGCGCATATACACACATTCATATGTAAACTTACGCGTATAGGCGGATTTTATAAACCTAAAAAAGAACTCGTGCGTATTCGCCTGAAATTTTCTCACAAACGTGCAGCTTCGAGCAACTTGCTCATTTAAAAATTGTTACAACACTGCCAGACGTTTGAATATGAAGAATTTGTCTCTTCAGAGACGTGTTATTCAAATGAAGATCGCGCGCGCGTGAGTTGTGCAATAGCCTTTACACAAGTCACATAAGCATCACCGCGCTGATGTGGCAATTTAGTGAAGATAGGGACGATAAAATCACGGCGTAGATTTTCGGAAGTGCGGCCTTCAAAAGTGCGGCGTGTTGCAAAATTGAATAATTACCAGGTACCTAAATCGCGCTCAGAAAGGTGATTATCATGCGCCACCGCCTCAACGGCTGCACACGAAACATCTTCATTAGTCGAGAAATGTTATAATCTCGGTATTTATCGCGCGAAATCGACAGGCAGTCGAAAGTTCAGTACGATAGTTCTGTCTAATAAGAAGGCTGTCTTACGTACGCCGTTGAGATTCTCGCAATCTCTCGTCTGATCACTCGTGTTGATCGTAGGCGCTGTGCTTGCGAAATGTGAATTTGGGTTATGATTATTAGATTAATCAACGGTCTAATGAGTGCTCTTGTGACATTTCCGATCAAGCGGGATAGACAAACACTGTGAGAAACACGCGTTATTCGAAGGAACGCCGCACGCACAAATTGCCGCGGAATCGATGACTTATGTAAATGACTCGGTCGTGCCGTTGCCTTTGTCGCCGCATCAGCGTGTATTTTCACGGAGGAACGTGTGTTCTTGCACGCGCAGTAATTAGCAAGAGTACACGTTGTTTATCGTCGGTGAGTCTCTAGCTCGTTCTAATCGGCATAGACAGAATTCAATTTGTTGATTGAAATAACCCGCTCGAGTGGGGATGTCGGCGATGTTGTCCAATTGGATTCGGTCGGAAAAACGGTAAAAACGGTAAAACTGCTGCGCGCTAAAAAACAGGCCATGTGACGCTAATTCAGACCTATCCCATTATCGCGCCGATCTGCCGCTTACGTACGTGCGTGCGTACATCGCTCCCGCGAATTGGTAGGTAGGTTATTTACCACGGTACCGGCGAATTCATCGCGTGATTTAACCGGACACGCACTAGTTCGCGCAAAAATAACCACTCCCCCTCCCCTTCTTCCGAAAAAGAGGAAAACGAGGGAAAACGGGAAGGAAGGGAGGGAGGGAGAGCCGCGCGCGGAAAGTTGCGTACCGGGTCATAGATTCAGTCACCAGTACTCGAACGGGACGAAATTTAGTTCGGTCGTTGTGCTCCGCGAGAGGAAACTGAGGGCGAGCAGCAGTTATATAACGAAGGTGGCGTTGGCCCTTCCTAAAAGTTTATAACTTTATTACGGATATTCCGGGGGAGCCCCGGAAAGAATTCCCTGATGCAAAAGTTTGACAACTTCTCGCGCTCTCGGCGCGTATTTCAACTTTCTCCTTCTGCTGACTTCCGTCCGCAACAAATTCCGCGCCTCTTCATTTCTCCCTCAGTCTTCGCCACGCTCATCGTTTCGTTCTCTCTCTCTCTCTCTCTCTCTCTCTCTCTCTCTCTCTCTCTCTCTCTCTCCCTCTCCCTCTCCCTCTCCCTCTCTCTCTCTCTCTCTCTCTCTCGCTCCACGTTCTTTCGATCCTCATTCTTCCGGGTTCGCTTCCAAGGAAGATACGCGGGCCGGCGTGTCCACGCGTGTACGGAACGAGGAGCTGCACCCGACAGAGATCTTGATTTCCTGTCGCGGTTGAAAATTGCAGGACCGTCCGCGTCTGTACACATCGTCGGATTTCGAGCGTAAATTGAACGAACAAAGTTCCAGCGTGATCTCCGTGTTTGCGACCAATTAATCCTTACGAGGAAAAAGTAAGTAACGCGGGCGCGTGTAGGTAGGTACGACAAACACGACATCTCGGACGTGACACTCTTCCGCAGACAGTGAAGTTGCAGGATCAATAATCTTAATCCTTATCTTCGAGGTGACTCCATTTCGCGAAATTAAAGGAAAGAGTTGGCAAAGCGAATTTACGTAATTGAAGTCCGTGTCCTGTTGAAGTTGTAAATCAAAGACCTTCCAAGGAGAATACAGGAGAATTGTGAAAGAAGCCATTTACGAAATTAATGTTACAGATTAACGAATGAAACGTGCCAAGCTTGTATTGTTATTTTTGCTACTACCAAATGCTTACAAAATATATATAATATAGAGAAGGAATTCGCGAGACGCATGTACAAAATGCGATCTAAAATAGGTTATGTCATATATATAGAGACATATATTTGTATTTACAATCATTTTAACAGCAAGGCACTTTGCGCTTTTCACGAATAAAGGGTGGCATATTGAAATATATTTCTATGATATATTTCTAACTATTAAATAAATAAATTCGATCGAATTTACGCACACATTTTTTAAAGGTGACGACACAATGTAAAATTTTTATTCATCCCACCGTCAATGTTAAATAAAAAATACAAACAGTTAGTAGAACCAGAAGTCTCTAGAATGAAAAAATGCGGGCAATTTTTTATAACATGGTTTTACACAAATCTCTGTTTTCCTCTTTTTTTTTTTAGGAATTGAGGATGCTAATACTGCATATCACAAAGAATTGCACGCAACTTTATGTGCATAAAGTGTCAGAGAATTATCAGTTGCATTTAATATAAATTTCTTGCTATCTTTTAATTCTTGTTATAGCTTTTCTGCATACAACATTAAATATGCCTCTAATTTTGTGCGTAAATTCAATTTCCTTTTTTTAATGTTTTATTGAATGTTCATATTCTACGGAAATATTTGCGAGAATGATAGTTTTGCTAACAAGCCTCCGACTAAATCTTTAAAATATTCATCCCATCCCTCTGCCACTATTGGCAACATTATACGATATAGCGCCGGCCAGTATTCATTCACGAAATCTGTGGCAATTTCATCTGCAAATAGAAATTTTTTTATCATGATATATTCCATAAGGAGAAAAACAAATCGATACATAAATCGATACATAAAATCTCAGTAATAACGATTGAGGAAAAATATATGAAAGAGAAACAATTAATAGAAATTTGTTTTGTAACTTTATAAAATGTTTAATATTATAACTTTCGAAGTGATTGGCTTCGCCATAGTTGAAGTTTTTTTCACTCTCTACATATCTATTATCATGCAGGAAACAGGGACTTAAAAAAGAATATGTTGCTTACTTAATTTAAAAATGATATTATATAAATATATATTATTAAATAAATATATGTATATAATTATATAATTATACATAATGTTATTATATAAATTTATTAAAAACAGGGATTGTTCATTCTACCTTGGGCATTTCGGCAATTCTTAAGTAAAGTTAGTATCATGAAAGAAATCCACACAACGTCGGTCCATATAACTACTCTTAAAAAAGTTAAGATAAAACTCCTGTTTAGGGGACCCACCTCCGATGACCTTGTCTGTTAGATATATTATCAAGGAGACTATCCTGAGTCACAATCAAAAGGTTTTAGCCGTCGCTCATTGTTTATTAAAAAATAATTAACAAAAAAAGTCTCATAAATAAAATGTAATTTTTCGACACTGTGTACATACTTAAGGAATGAGAACATGCTCCTATACATGTCCTATACATGGATATATTCATCGTACTACCGACCTACAACTTCATCTTTGTTCTTTGTAGTAGCAAAAATTTTGTTTGGTAATTATGCAGAAATAGGGACCACCTCCCGATGTCAATAATTTTCACATATGTTATCAAGGTTCTGTAATATTTTGTTTTGTAATGAGTAATGTTCTGAAAGTTTTAACCCGCGCTCATTGTTTATAACAAAGTTATGAACAAATGAAGCTTCATAAATTTTTCCATACAGTTAATCCAAACACAGTGTATATATAGAAATGTAGGAAACAGTACATATAAGCGGGAGAGGGGTTTCGCCCCTCCCCCGCACCCCCTCCCCGAATAAATCCTAACTTAACCTAACTTATTGCATTTTTATATATTTTTGGACATTGTTGAACAAGTTCTCTTAAGATTTATCATCTGACCCAATTTAACATATTATATCTGCATACAATTTGGTGTTGTAGGTTTTAAGGAAATCTTTTCACATAAAGATGCAATAAGTTAAGTTAGGTTAAAATTTATTCCAGGAGTGGGTGCGGGGGAGGGGCGAAGCCTCTCTCCCGCTTATATGTACTGGTTCCTACATTTCTATATGTACACTTTCGAAAAATTACGTTACATTCGTGCAACTTTTTTTGCTAATAACTTTTTAATAAATAATGAGCGATGGCTGAAACCTTTTGATTGTGACTCAGGAGGGTCTCCTTGATGATATATCTAACAGACAAGGTCATCACAGAGGTGGGTCCACTAAACAGGAGTTTTTCTAAAGTTAATATAAGTGACTTTAAAAAGTTAATGCACATTGCAAAATTTTTTCCTGAATTTAATTCATCTGCGTATTTGTTTATTTATTTTGTTAAGGATGATTTCCGCATCTCGTGTGCATATTCGTAGATAGTGTATTAGATTTTGCAATTTCTTCTCTATCTTAAATTCTAATAAGCAACTAATTAATTTTTTTTATTAATTAAGCTACTGCATTGTATATCTGTATTTGTTATGTACTTCTATATGTATCCTGTATATATTTCGAATGAATAATGTATGAAGAATATACATATGTAACATGAATCAACCATTCCTGGCATATGTCATCAGTCTGATGTCACTAGCCTTGAAAAAAGTCACTACGAATGCTAATCAGTGGCAATAAAACGAGTAACTTGAAGCTTTTTATCCAGTAGCTATCCTACATACAGTAAATACAGCGACATAGAAATACGTTTTAAGTATAAAATATTTAGTAATCATCTTAATAAGATGAGAATAAATTATATTTTTTAATGCATTAATATTAATAATTTTGCGGACAATTTATTTTTTTTCTGTGTTATTTTATATCAGTGCTGGAGGATAAGTGCCCAGTTCGGCTAGATTTCGGAGACGCTTACTTTCCTTTCCCTACTGCTCTCGGTTTGACGGCCGAGCCGCAGAGCAAGCGCGACAACTTTGTTTTCAGGAGCGTTTGCATATGAAAAATACGCTGGAATTGTACTTTCCACCAAAACGTTATTAAAATTTTGAGAATAGATTTCTACATCACTCGTGAGGTACTATTGTTGATGCGTTTCTTTTTAAGTAGTTTCCCCAGTAAGCTTACTCCACTAAAAATTGATAAAGATGAAACATATGGCTTTATTCTAATGACAGTTCAATCAGAAAATACGATCCCAGCGTATTTTTCATACGCGAACGCTCCTGAACACAGTTGTCGCACATGATCGGCGGTTCGGCCGTCAAGCCGAATAGTAAGGGGAAAGTAGACATCATTTCCGAAATCTAACCGAACTGGGCACTTATCTCCCAGCATTGTTTTAAATGAAAATATAAAAAATAAAAATGGAGAAATAGAAATTATAAAAATAAGTAGAAAAGAATTTAATTAACTAGGTGCAATTTATAAAAAATCGATGTTATTTTCGCAATCTAGATAAATCTTCATCAATAATTATATTAAATCAAATGCTTTCATTCAAACCATTATATTGTCGCTGTATAAAAGTTATTAGAAAGGTGATGCTATATTTAAATAATTACTTACTCAATTCTCGATTGCCTTCAAATAAGTTATTTATGTATATCTTCATGCTTTTAGGTTTCGGAAATATATTAAAATGATTTATTATCCATGTATCATTCTCTACGGGTCCTGATATAACCCATAATGATTCGATACCTCCTATGGTTAAGTTAAAATTTCCTATAAATAACGATATTTCGTATAAATAACGATAATATCAGTATAATGATAATATAAATATAACCAATAATATAAGTATAACATTGTAATATTTTCCAATGATGAAATCAATGATAAAAGAGTAACAGTTATAAAATTAAAGATACTACATTAATAATTGAAATTAAAGATTAAAAATTAAAGATACTACGGTAACAATCCATTTGTAAATTATGTTCTAATAAAACCATGCATACACAATAATTTTTATATTTTATGGGTGATTTTGTGACATATTACAATATTATAATATTATTCAACTGTCTCAATTAACATATTTCATATTCAAATTGTACAGCGGAAAATAATCATTTTCCACTTTATACAGTGATATACTCGACAAAGCAATTGTCAACGTACAAATCTAGTTTAAATGTAAGGATAAAATAAAAATTTATTTTCATACCTTTGCCACCCATCCGAAATCCACCTATATTACCTTGTGCTTCGCAAGTACCTTCACAGAATAATTCTGGCATGTACAAGTCGGCCTCCAAACGAAAAGCGTCATCGCTGAACTGTGGTCTTATAGCCAAGAAACGTGTCTTTCTTAAACCCGTTGCAGTCATATTTGACACGATTACTTCTCCATATATTATACCACTATCAAATACACCTTTTTGATATTCGTGAAAGTATGGATCCAAAGGAGGAAAGTCAAATTCAGCAGGAAGACCTGTTATGATAAGTCGAGTAACATTGCCATACATGTTAATCTCAAAATTTTATTGGCTTGATTGCAAAACTTTGAACTTTTCGTTCGGCTTAGAGAAAATTTCATTGATTTGCATATTTATTGAAGTTTATATCAAATTGTTACACTGAATAATAATTACACATTTCGTTCTCAGAATTACATATACATTTGTATGTTATAACGCTAACACATAGAGTCGATAAAAATTATGACTACAAAAAGGATAAGATCTATTTTAAAGTATACCTTTTATAAAAAGCGGCCAGCTTTTTTTGATCGCACGTAGTAAGCAAGTAGTGTAGTTAGTTTCTTCGCGTTTGCAAATGGGCACAGCTGCGTAGAGATGAAGGCAGAATAAAATGAGTTATTTTCAAATAAATATAATGTAGCTTCGGTGTTGAAAGTAAGAATTTATCTCTTCGTTTATTCTCAAACATTACGATAAGGTTATCATTAAAACACGGAAAATAGTCAAAAAAGACTTACGAAGATTGAGTTTTTCTGCCACACATAATGCAAACACTACGATGCTGAATACACTAAGCGCACGCAACACCATCTTGTCACTCGAGGAAACTTTCTAGTAGTCTGATCGATTATAGATCTAGCCTGGCTTTATATAACTTCTGGCGATGTAGTTATTAAATTCTTGAAAACTTGTTTAATCTGATAATGACAATATCTGATTTAAATGCGGTAGCAGATAAAAGAAAAAATAAAAAAAAATAATGAAATATTAACAATATTATATAAAAATAATGACGTATCACAATTCCGTGATATTAATAAAAATGATAATTTTATTGCGGTAGATAAATATATTGGACGCACAAAATTCCGGGGAAATTGTAAATCATAATTAAATAATAATGTCATAACAATTTTTATATCATAAAAGATTGAAATTGAACGCGTCTAGTTAATTATATTTGCAATTGTGTATACATTTATATTAATTATATTTTTTATAATCTCAATATATATTCATTAATTTAAAAAATATATTATATATACGTACAATTGGCACACAGATAAAAATCCAATGATGTAGTTTATATTGCTAAAACTTATTTAATATGATTTATAATTTGCGACAAAATTTTACTGGCAATTTTATCACTAAGGATTAGTATAATGTGACGAAAGATATTTTGAATCACGGGATGCGATTAGATATTTAGTTACTCATCATGTTTCTTAATGTTTCATTAAACGATCGAAAGTTGTGAGAATATTTTTCGAAAGGAAAACTTCGAGATTAAGTGAGTGAGCAATATGCTAAGATGCGTGTTACTATCATTCGCTACGCATTATTGATAAAATCGCTCGATATAACGAAGTATATTTATTATCCGCGAATTATGACTAATTCATTTATCAAAAGTTTTCTGTTATATGACGTATTTTCCGGTATAGATAAATTGATACATTAAATGGCAATGTAAAGAGCTAAAAGGAAAATATTATTCATGCATTTATATTTACTTATATGCAAAAAAGAACAGCAACAAAGTAACAAAGAAAAGAAATATAAATTTTTTTTACTTGGCGTCAAAATATATTTATCTTTTTCAAGACAATATCGACATTTAGGTATATATCCGTAAATAATATATAAAGTTCGCAAATTTATTTCAAATTCCAATAGACGATGTCAATCTTTGGATTAAGTCGGACTTATTTTATTGCGTTATCTTTGCACTGTGGTCGTTTGAATTCTGGATAAAAAACTATATGAAGTGTATATAGCATAAAACCAGTCCTTCAACATACGTTGTAATTTAATTGTTGTTATCCTTGATCAAAGGTAACTACTTTAAATGCTAATAAATAGTATTAGCAACTTAAAAACATGATTCTAGATATATTCTATGTCTAATATACCGGGTGTTTCAAACCACCCGGATCATCCGATTTTTTCGTTAACGCGACATTTTAGAGAAAAATGTTTCAGACAAAGTTGTAGGGCTTCAAAGGATCTATTTACTGACGCTATGAATTTGATCTTGAGATAACCTTGGAAAGTCCAGTCAAGATCAACATATTATAAAAATCTTAAATGGACACCCCAATTTTTTATTACATCATCTTTTTCTAGCAATTAATTTGAACAACTTTTGTCTGAAATATCTTTTTATTTACTTAATATTTTTTGAGATATTTAAGGAAAACTTGATAACTTTTTCAATATTTAACTCACGATATCTCGCTAATTATTTGTCAGAAGGAAAAGTGACACTAGACTTTTTTGCTCTATTTATTCTCAAGAATATATTGTTACAATAGTGCCCTGATTTTTGTTAATTTGATGATTTTGAAATTTCTAAAAATTAACAAGTTCATTCATACTGACTGTGATCGTACCACATTGCGTGAGCGCATTTTCTTCTAGCCTCAGTTTTTTATAAGACGGTTTATAAAACGGTGAACGAGACACGTCCAACGCTAGTATGTCATGGTCACAGTAAGCATCAGTATTAGTTTGTTAATTAAACACAGTTTCTTTAGTGTAATAGCTGTTTGGTTTCGTTTCGACTATTTTTACATAGAGCGCAGCTAACATAAAACCATGTATATCTCAATATTTTTATTGTGTTTGGAACACAATATACTTACATTGTACTTATTAAATATATTTACATACATATTTACTCTATCACTTCACTATATTCCTACAGTAAGAGAAGAAGAATGTATGAGAGATGCAAAGCATAAAACTAAAGCCCGTTTTACATTAAAGATTTTTATTGCTACATGCACTACTAGTTATTACTTGCAGGTTATTATTTTTTGAAATCAATAATTAGGATTGAAAAGCTGATGAGTTTCTGGTTATTACGTGATCCGTACGTTTGTTTCAGAGTGTTAAATATCAAATTCATTAATTTATTAAATGCTGTTTTTCATACACACTAATATAGTTACACAACATGAAATAACACATGTTAATCGCGCTATTATCGTTAAATACGTTTGTGCAACGACAGAGCTGTGTCTTCAGCATTAAAGGTTTTCCTCAGTTATTCTCATAAACTTTCGTTGCAATTTTTTATATATTTTTTTTAGACGTGCACGTAGCAACGTTTCGAATTTAAAAAATACACATGCGACATACATACAAAGTATCTCGAGAATAATTATGAAATAATTACGAAATATTTAGGCCTATATCTTAGAAACGACATTATGAACTAATCCTAAACTGAAATTCAACAGACAATCGGATAAAAAATTGTGTCTGACTGACAAACCAGTATTGATACTGACTGTGATTGTGACATATTGCGTGAACGCGCCTCGCTCGTCGCCTTGTAAAACGTATATGCAGTTTTTTCTAGTCTCAGTTCTTTATAAGACGTATAAGACGGTGAACGAAGCGCGTCCAACGCTGATATGTCATGGTCATATTAAGCACACGTAGGTATTAGTTTGTTAATTAAACACAGTTCTTTTATAGTGTAATAATATAATAATGCACTATTTCGTTTCGATTATCTTTACTTAGCGCACAGTTAACATAAGATTACAAACATAAAATTACGTATATCTCAATATTTTTATTGCGTTTGGAACATTGTACTTATTAAATATACTTACATTCGTATTTACTCTTTTACTTCATTATATTTCTATAGTAAGAGAAGAAAAATGTGTGATAGATGCAAAGCATAAAACTAAAGCCCTCATTACATTAAAGATTTTTATTGCTACATGCACTACTAGTTGCTATCTTTTGAAGTCAACAATCATGATTGAAAAGCCGCTGAGTTTATGGTTATTACCTGAACAGTACGTTTGTTTTAGTATATTAAATTTAGTATATTATTCAGTATTTAATATGTTAAATATCAAATTCATTATTTATTAAGTGCTATTTTTTATACACACTAGCATAGGTGAGATCAATTACACAATATGAAATAACACACATTAATCGCGTTATTATTGTTAAGTATGTTTGTACAATGACAAAGCTATGCCTATAACAATAAAAATTTTGCTTAACTCTTCTCATAAACTTTTATTGTAATTTTTTTACATTTTTATTTAAGACGTGCACGTAGCGACGCTTTGAGTGTAGAAAATGTAGACGTGACATGCAAAGTACTTACAAGATTTCGGTTATATGTAATATAAATTCCCTTTAACCTTGTATCTCTTGTGCTTACATTAACATTAACTGCGCTTTTTGTTTTGTATACAGGATTCCGTTACTCAATATTTAATCGAATGATTGAATTCTATGGAAATATTTCCGAGAAGGAAAGCTTTGAAAAAAGGCGGTTGGACAAGTTGCTACAATAAGAGTTCCAATACGGTCCCGCAATTGGTATTATCACTCTGCGGTATAACAGCGGCCAGAATTCATTTATGAACAGCGTGATTAAATCATCTGTATAATAGGAAATTCACAATCGTGTTATAATGTTTCCAAATAAAAGAAGAAACAAATCGGAATCCATGAAAACTTAGGAAAAATATTTAAAAGAAAGAATCTTTGAAGAAGGTTCTTCAAAGAAGAATCAATGGAAGCTTATTTTGCAAACGTGAATTTTTAATTTTCAAAATCAGTCTCTTAAGATCAAAGATTAATTTTGCAATAAATTACGTTTGTCTGTCTGTCTCTCTCTCTCTCTCTCTCTCTCTCTCTCTCTCTCTCTCTCTCTCTCTCTCTCTCTCTCCCTCTCTCCCTCTCTCTCTCTCTCTCTCTCTCTCTCTCTCTCTCTCTCTCTCTCTCTCTCTCTCTCTCTCTCTCTCTCTCTTTCTCTCTCTCTTTCTCTCTTCAATTTATCTCCGTGACAAAAATATGAACTTAAATGAATAAGCTTTTCATTCGATATCAAAATAAATCTATTAAAAATAATATCGATTAATTCATTATACTAGAATAAGTACATGAACAATTACTCACTCATTTCTCGGTTGTTTCCGTCATCCAATTTTATCTTAAGCTTTTGAAGTAATGTATTTAAGAAAAATTGGTTTATAATCCACGTATCATCTTTTACGGGTCCTGATATATCCCATGTTATTTTGAGATTTTCTAGGGAAATGTTCAACTTTCCTGCCGTAATTATAATAACGATATAAATATAAAATCTTAATATCTCTTAACGATAAGATCAATGATAGAAAAGAAAAGTAAACACAAAATAATTAATGAAATGTGAATTATTTGCTATAACAAGATTATGGAATATTAATACTTGTATATAATAATCTTATATTGTAAATCGATGTTTAACTATATGTTGCAATATATTTATATGAAAGCCTTAATTAATATAAATAATCCTTATTAATCTTAAACAAGAATATATCATACAAATAATAGCCCATGTCTAAATTTAATTTATTTGTAATCATTTTCATACCTTCTTCGGTCATAAGAAAGCCTCCCAAAGTACCATGTGCTTTGTATTTACCATATAGAGTAATAGTTGGTATACGTAACATAATCTTTAAACGAAAGTCGGTCTTATCGTAGAAATGTGGTCTCACCGCTACGAAACGTGCTGCTGACATGCCCTTGATAGTGATATTAAACACACTTATTTTTCCTTGTATATAATCATTATCAAATTCAGCATCTTGATATTCAAAAAGAAGTGGGTCCAAAGGAGGGAATTCGAATTCAGACGGAAGACCTATCAAAATAAATATTTCATAAATATAATCTAAACTATATGCACACACATATACAAATATAATACAAACAAGTAATTGTATGTGTCGTTATCAGAACTACATATGCAACAGTATATGTAAAGTGCAGGGTAAACTGTTTAATAAAAATTAAGATACAATTATAATGTTTTCGAGGCATACCTTTTACAAAAAGTGGCCAAGCTTCTTGAATCGCATGTTTTAAGCAGGAAGAGTAGTCGGTTGTATTACGTTCACATGTGGACACAGCTGCGTGAAAGTAAAAGTGAAATAAAATAAGTTGAATAGGAAAATAATGCAGCATATAATATGGAAGATAATATAGCTAATATAATACGGCTACAAATAAATTATTACACTGAATTAAAACTTATTAAAACACTGAAAATTGCTAGATAGGATATTTACGAAGATGGAGTTTTTCTGCTGCACAAAATTCAAACACCAATATACCGAATATACTGAGTACGTGGAATAACATTGTGTTCAAATGAACTGTGCGCGAATGAATGAATTTATTTATTAGGCCTGTCTTGCTATATAGGCTTTGTCATGCTTCGCTTGAACATTGGTATACATCTCGTGTCATCTAGTGAATATCATTAAATCTTTTTCTATGTCTTGCTGGTATAATAAGTTTCCTATTTACCAACATTTTAGACGAGATGTTATTATAATTGTTTTTCGTTAAACAGTCGTTTATGGTAAAAAATGTCACTAGAATCATTCTTTTTTAGGTTACATTGAAGAATCAGCCGATCGATGGTCGTCACTAGGTAGCAGTTTGTTGACTTATTTTAATATCTCGAATACCAGTTTCACTAATTAAGTCAATTATATTGTTATTTTTCGGTACGTTCGTGCAACGGCAGAGCTGTATATACAGTGTTAGAAGATTTCGTTTAGCTTAACTGTACCGAAAGATATCGGTTAAGCGTACCAATAAAGGACAAAAAGTTTATCAGCAATAGATTAAATTATCATAGAACTCCGGTCAAGGAATTTTGTTCTCTTTGTATGTTGAAAAATGTTAAAGAAATTATAAATCTAGATATATGAATATCGTGGTCACATAATAGCTTCTATTGAATAAAAGACCGGAGAAACAAGTATTACCTATGCAGACATATTTTGTATGCTTTGCGTATGTATGTAATATAAAATTTTGTTATTTAAATTTATTTATGTTACTTATTTGTGTTTAACACTTAATATTTCATGATTATTTTTATGTGCGCAAGTTTTAGATTAAATATACTTAAATAATAATAAATATTTACAATTATGTATATAATTATTATTTTTATAGAGTTATAGAGTTTGAGTATACTAACATATCGGGTTAACATACTTTCATTTTTATCACTTTGACAGTAAAAATATACGATTTATACTAGGTGATCCGAAATTCTCACATTCGGAGTACAGGACATGATATTTTATGCTAAACAATTTTTTCCTTTGGCAAAATTACGTCTGGGAAGTAGTTTTTGCACAAGAGCGTGTTAAAGTTAATGAATAAGCGCTTTTGGTTATATAACGCTCAAGGTCGGCGCGTGCGCCTCACTCGCCTGTACTTAGTGACTAGTATTTATAATGTCTTTTAAGACGCTCACGGCTTTGTTGTGATTAGTTTACGACATCTTAAGACTGTACTTAGGACAATCTTAAATAATATCAATTGTAAACAATGAAACCGGGATTTCACAACTCGCAAAGCATATTATTATTTACATTTGTTTTTATTTTTATATAATATTGTGCAATCAGACAACTTTTTATTCGTTTATTACGTAAGAAATAAAGGCAGTACTTATTTTATTAACTTTTCATTATTTAAGCAATATAACACGGAAGAAGGTCAAATCCCGGTATTGTTCATAGTTGATTCTTATTATTTAAGATTGTCTTAAGTACAATTTTAAGATGTCGTAAACTAATCACAACAGAGCCGTATGAGTGTTTTAAAAGACATTACTTATGAATACTAGTCAATAAAAAGTAAAACATGCAAGAGGAATAAATGATAATTTAAAAAGCTGAAGAAAATTACTTATTTATTGTGATTTTCTATGATTTAGCACATACATTAATCGTTCTACGAGGGCATAATGATATTATGTTTTCTCGAAATACGATTTAAAAAAAATATGATTTAAAAGAAAACGATAAATCATTTTATTATCTTTTGCTCTTAACGTTTCGCGGCCGCATTAATACATGCGTGACTTTTCATTCTGCCAGCGATTATAGCAAAATATTTATTCATAATAACAGTCTATAAACACTAACATAACATCATGAAGAGTATAAAGAAATAAATTTACGAACTTAAGTACGACAAAGGGAAACGTTCGACTTTTTAGGCACGGTCCAAGTGAGCTCTCGAAATCTGCCGACAGCGAGCGAAAATTCGCCCGCGATAAGCATGGTTATGAAAGTGTTAAGTGTCCTTTTTATACCGCTACAAAAAGACGCATACGTGTAGTCCGATCGCGAATCGTTTAAAAGTCACGCGCTCGCGGGACATTTTATCCTTCTTACGATGTTGTTCGTTATAGCGAGTTATTTTATATGCGAGTCACAGGTCACGTATATATTGTCGTAAGCCGAGAAGAACTCGCTTCACTCGATCGTCGCACGTCATGCACGTTGTTGAAAATGTATTCTGTTCGCCTTATAAACGGCAGCAGATTGTCGTAAATAGATTGCGTGTTTTTCCACAGAGAACTAGGCGAGGACTGGCTGTTTGATCCGTCATGAATGTTATATATATTTCACCGTATTGTATTATAATATATCGTTTTCGCCGCGGCACTTGCTTCTTGTAACAAGGGAATCTAAGGCGAGATTAAAATCTGCGCCAAAGCGGTCGACAGTATGGAATACAACGTAATAGCCGTGAATTCAGTTACGCGCGGTTTATTACGCAGGGCGAAAGGATAAAAACATTATTTCCGGGATAAGATTACAATTTTAGCGGTACACCTCGGTAAGATAGATGGCCTTTACACCACACGTATATCACACGTACACACACACACACACACACACACACACACACACACACACATATATAACGCAGACACATATCTTCAAAGTAGTTACAATAATCGGCTACAAAACTTAAAAGAAGAAGGTATTTGATAGTTACAACTTTCTGTTTAGTTCAACGGATGACATTCAGGAAAAAAAGATGGGTGTCAATACGGCTGCTTTTCGGGCTCTTCGATTGGCTTGATACTGTGAGAAATTATTACTTATTAACGTATCTCACAACCCTTTGAAATCTATTTTTCGATCGGTCAATCAGAATCGAAGATAGAGCAGTTTGAAGATTCTCGATTTGTTACATTTTGATTCAGAACTCGTCATATTTCTCTGAGTTATTAATCAATTTCGGCTATGAAACTTTTTCAAAAATTATGCATACGTATGATGTGGAATATATGTAAAAGTTAACCTAGCGCTTTAGACTGACCTTGAAAATATCCTCGTTTGAATAAGACCAGTAACATGGTTTTCGCGTACTTTTTTTATGTTTCTGGAAATCAAAAGTAGCTTTTCTGTTCCGAAATCTTTATAGGCGTGGTATATAATATACAAAAAAGCATTTCTGCATCATCAATTCATACGCTATGGACATGATATCTCAAGATGTGATTTTCACAAAAGATAAATAGAATTAACACTTCAGCATGATAGAGCAGTAGTAACAAGATACAAATCAGTTTTATTAATTGTAATTCTTTTTCTGATGTTTATAAATCTGACTAAATAACTGTCGATCTCAGTCATTTATCATTGTAAAGGATGCGGTAAGTACGTAAAAAACGTGCTTTTGAACTTCTTGTTGGTCGATTCATTCTTAATGTAGATTTTGTGAGAAAAGGAAACATAATGGTATGAAACGTGTGTACGAGATTGCCACTTTTCTTACAAACCATACATTTCTCCTCAGATATAATACATCTTTTTAATCATCACTTTTCCAGAAGTTGACGGAATATCTTGCAAGTTTGAAGATTCTGATATTGCAAGTACTTCCTTAGCCTCGTTAATGTGTTTTTTCGAAAAAAAATCAGTTGTTGCTTTTTTTTTCGACTTTGTTACAAAATGTCGGCTCTTGCGCCAAGTAATTATCAATCGTTTGAATATACAATTATATATGTATATGTGTGTGTGTGTGTGTGTATGTGTACACGTAAATTTAAAGCGCTAGCTGAATCGAGATTGTTTCCTGTTCGTGATCCGTACAGGATAATATAATTAAAGAATAAGTGTTATGTGTAAATTTCTCGCGTGAAGCGCGAGAGCGACGTGTGACGTGAAATCGCACGCAACAATACTCTGTCTCCGTCTAAACGGTATAAAGAATGACGCAGAGCGAAAACGAGAGAGACTTGTACCACCACCTAAGAATATTATAGTATTATTGAGAATAATAAATCCCCGAGGATGAGCCGGAATTAATTGCAGGGCCGATTGCAAGCAATTTACGACACTGATTGCAGCCGAGATGAGAACCATCTTGGGAAAACCTTTCGGACGATGGAAGAAAAGGAAACGGCGCCGCTATCTGCCTCTCTTTCGCTCTCTCCCCCTCCCCTTTCTCTTTCTCTCCCTCTCTCTGTCTCTGTCTCTCACACTCTCGTTTCTCCTCTCCTTTGAAGCGCGGATTTGAATCTACGTTTTACGGCGCAATTAATTCCCCAAGGAGAGTTGCATTTCTTGCTCCGCCGGGGCAAGGAAAGGGATTTGCGAACGGCGAGGTTCCCGTAGCTTCGTAAGAACCCGGCCAGCTAGACAGGGACAGGCCGAGCGCGAGGAAGGGAAAGAAATGGCGAGAGGGTATGAGAATCACAGGGTGCGGAGCAGAAGAAGAAGGTCGACGAGAAGATGGCAAACCGTTTCCACAGGCTAAGGGATACGCGTCTCAGCGCCGGCATTATCGACGACCGCTAAGCGCCCCGCTTTATCCCTGTACAGTCCTGTAAAGTTAATGATTTAAGAACGTCTCGCGCGCGCCAGCAGCATTCATTTTTCTAGAATCGGAGAGGAGCGATAAGTATAAGCGATGATTTTCTTTCGCGACGCAGCACACGACGCGCGAAGCGGCGGAGAAATATCAGCGAGGCAGCGGAGTTGCCGCTTCGCAGTTGTTATTTTCCATTTTTTGCCACGGAGATAAAAAATGTTCGTTCTCGTTATCTAAATAATCGTATGCTGTTCGAAGCGTGAAAAATATCTACGCACAAAGTCGCATACGCTCGCGTCTCGCGGGAGTTCATTTGGCTAGCCGATAGCTGTGAATTCCACTCGAGAAATTCCTATTCGAATCACTCTTCTTTCTTGTTCAACGCGAATTAGCGACTCTCATACGCGCCGCGAAGAAGATCCGTTTGAGTAGCACTCCTGCAAGAAGCGCTACACGTCGTCGGCCCTTCGTAGTCTTCACCGTCGACGTAAGTAAGCCGAGTCACGGAATTTTGCAGGAAGCCGAACGAAAGGAGAGACCG